TGCAAAATGATCACCACAATAAATCTGATGAACATCTGTCACTAGAAATAGTTACAATTTTCTTCTTGGGATGAGAACTTCTAAGATCTCATAGCAGTTTTCAAACAGGCAATAAGTATATTCCAGTTTTGACTTAATGCAGTTAAATGAGACAAGTGGCTTTGAGTCTTAGAATCAAAGAATCATGTTGAAACAGTTGAGTTGAATCAAACTTCTCAGTGCCAACTCATATAGAGCTTTCATGAAAAATCCATCCCTGATTAGGCCCACCTAGCTCCCATCACACATGGTATGGTGTGCAGGCATAGATCGGTGTTTAAGACTTGTGTTATCTTTTCCACTTGTCCATGCATTTCTTTATCAACATCATTCAGTGCTTCATCCATCTCCTGTCTTCACTATCCAAACAGGTTATAATAATGGCAGAGACGTCTACGTAGCTACAGTCACAATTGCTGCCCACTGGGCATTTTGGAAAGAGGCTGGGAAGGAGTCCTTCCAGTATTAGAGGTTTAATTTCAGGGGATTAGAAAGCTTTTCATTTTGAAGAGTCCATCATACAAATATATTTCAGGAGTGAACACTGTTTAATTATTTATTTGATTAGTGACTAGCTGACCATCTGCTGAGAGTAAGGCAATGAAGGGTTAGTAAACAGGCAAAAGGAATGAGGAACTCTTGGGGAAAGTGGACACATGATTAAGGAGACCATTACTTCTATTTTGTTTAGGTTTTAGGTTTTGATTCGGCTGGCTCTGTAAAGGTATGGGTTGTTTCCATTTTATTTCCATTCATCCTCTATGCTTTACAATGTATGTCTTATTTAAGTGTTGAACGAGACTAGTGAATTACTGCTTGTTATCACTGGGTAGTCGTGCTTTGCTTCTGGTATTCCAGAGGGTCTAGGAGAGGCTCCGTAGAGTCCTTATTTCTATCATTTGCTGCAGAACCTTAACATTTTTTGCTGATTTCTGGCACTAAGTTGATGAAATACAGGAAGATAGAGCTCAGATGCTTTTGGATAAAACCTTAATTTATCTCCTCCCTTCTCTCTGACTTTTCATTGATTGACTCAACTAGTCCCATATTGTTGGATGCCTTTTCTGACTCCTATGTCTGCCTCATTCCTTGCATGTGGTCAAGGTCTATTTCATTTCCTGTATCTCTCACATCCATTGTGTCTTTTCACTCGGTAAAACCCTCTTTGATTTTTAGTGTCATAATATTCCCAGCTCTTTCTGGTCTCTTTCTTTTTCTCTACCCACCTTAACAGCCACAACTCCTCAATCCACATTAAAGTTTCTCTTTTCTAATTCTGGACATTCTGCTCTCTTGGACCTAATGTTCTTGGTTTCCTGTTGCTTTGTAGAATAAAGACAAACTCACCAAATTGGCATATATCATTCTTCCTAATGCATAAAAATCCATTCAAGTATTTCTCCATTCTAACCCTACAATAATATATACAGTATATCATGGGAGCATAATCAGGAGAGATACAACATGAAAGGTAAAAAAATGAACATTTCTTGTGTTTTTGTCAGACTTGATTATTCACTGATACCTTATAATGCCATACATATTACTATCTCAGTTGCCTTGACCTAGGGTGTCAGAGATCCTTCCTTCATAAGATGATCCTAAATGAATGGACAGATATACTGTTTTCCTATTTTTCCACATCAATATCCCATTAACCTTTAAAAACTCCATCATAAAGCCATCCCATTTGCTTACTCCTATAACACACTCAGATTGCTCCTAGCTTTACCTCAATCTATTGTAGCACCGTGTTGACATCACATCTTATTCTTCTTCACTCTACCATACAATATGGTAATTTGTGTGTTTATATCACCCTTTCCTTCTCCACAAGTGGAGGGCCTGCTTCTGGAAAATAGAGAGTTTTTCAAGCCTCAGAATAAGTCTTCACTCTATCCATGACATGTGACTTACTAATCTATAAGTTCAGTGAACTTCAAAGCTTCTTCATTTGTTTGTTTCCATATGGTAACCACTGCTACTATTCTTGTTATATAAGGGCATTTCTTCAAGTGTACTCTTACAAGGAAATCTGTAAAAGAGGGGAAATGCAATGATTTCTGGTAAGCAAGGGAGTGATTGTTAAATCCTGTCCAAATATCCCCACCTTGGCTATTCCTCACTGACTCTATAGAATATCTATGGCTCTGTTCAATATTGTCCGAAATCTACAATATTCACTTTATATGAAACTGTCAAGCAAGGACAGCATTCTCAATGTCAGTACCTCTGTTCTTGATGTAAAGTCCTAAATTCAGGCTTGAAATAAATTTTATGAGACAAATACATGAAGATGTGTGTAGCCTATCAGTGAGTGTATGTCTCCTTCAATTGTATTGTCCCCCATATTGCCAAATTTCCCCCATAATAAATACCATCCTCTCTGCTGGAAATATCTAGACATTGAAGGAAAGAAAGTTAAGCAAGTAACACAATAGAAATAGATGTTTTGGGCAGTAAATGACTTAGAAAGTGCTTACAAAGTTTTTTCATGGTCTTTTACCTTTTGGAAGAAGAAAGTGAAAATACAAGAAAGCTGACACTTTACATGCATGAAGGAGCCAAAGGAGGTATCGATAGATTGCTTTGGGGCAGAGTATTCTGTCATGTTCTTTAAGCACTGGGTCATCCCAGGTAGAGCCAGGGGCAAGACTCAGGAAACAATAATCCTGGCTATGAGGGAAGAGGTTGTTTTTGCTGGACAATGTTCCTGTATGTGGGTGAAATGTGTCTTTGCCTAAAAGAACATGATTTGGCTGGATTCTTCCCTGAGAGTTGCCAGGCTTTGTTCATCTCTAGAACTATGGCCTTTAGTAATAGCAGAAGAATATTCCTAATATAAAGGACACTTTCAGAAAAAAGAGGAGAGAACAGAAAATGGAACTAAAAGGGAATATGAGATATTTGCTCTTACAATATTATATATATATATATATATATATATATATATATATATATATATCCTTAAAAATACAGTGTTTTAACATCTTTTCATCCTTCACTACCCAAGTCCTTCACTCAGTTTGTTTTGCTGCTTTTCCTTCCTTCTGTCTTTCTCTTCCTTCTCTCTTATCACCCCCCTTTCCCCTGTACCTATTGATTTTCCATTTTCTGTTTACTAGGAATTACTGGTAAAGCTCTAGAGATGCTGCAAAACCAGCCCAGCAACATCACTGACTTCTTAGGAGAGCCAGTCAAGAGACTGGCCCTCTTCCCAGGTTGTCTGGAGGCTGTTGAACAAGCTGAGCAACCCTAATACAGTCACATTGCTTCAGTCTCAGTAGAGACTCAGTCTATTCGGAGGATTTTATAATTCTGGGACCTACTAGAGCATGTTTGTAAGGCCAAATAATTAATGACAAGGATAGTTACTCTAAAAGGAAGAAAGAATGGTATCTCACTTCTCAGATAAATGTGTTTTTGAATCCAGCTTTCTGATCTACTCGGTGTCTATGTGAGCAGTTGAACAATTGTCCAGAGGCCCCAGGCAGGGACAGATGCACACCAGTATTTCTGCCATTCAATTGTTCAGGGTGTTTATGATCGTGGGTTTCCTGTGGGTCAGCTAGTAGGCAGCTGACTGTGGGCTACTTAATTTTCTCCAGATGGTGCTTGCAGAATGAGGGAAACAGAGAGGCTGTGGTGATGACTGCAGGTGGTGGGCTGTGGGTACCAGAACATTTCCCCTGATTAAAAAGGGAATATGGCATTGGGGATCCCCAACTTGTGAATGTCCTGGAAAACCACAAGGATCCCCCACAAGAGAAACACTTGTCAGTCAGGGGGAATTTCGGATCAGTCTGTCTGGACCAAGAGAAGGCTACAACAGCTCCATGTAAGTCAGTGATGTCAGAACTTTCCCATCTCATTACCATCTACCCTGTTCCACCAAGGCCCAAAGAATGAAGATCCAGAGAGTGAGAGAGAAGGAACCTTGCAGAAATGGACACATTGATGCATCCAGGCAGGTCCCCTGGGCCTCAGCAGGGGAGAGGGAAGCTTTGAATAGGCTGAATATGAGATGGACTTGACACTTGACTGACCTGGCCTTGTGAAACCCAGAGTGATAAAATGTATGGAATGGTTGCAAGGTGGTGTAGAAAATGAGGATGCAGTGGAGTGTGGGTGAAGACAGCCCCTGGAGGAGGATGGAGCCAGTTCACGTTTCTATCTGCGATGGTCTCAACCTTTGCCTTCCCCAGAAGTTTCATATGATGAAATCCTGATTCCCATGGTTATAGCATCCATAGGTGGTGCCTTTGTGAGGTGATAGCATGATAAGGATGGAGCCTCATCTAAGAGATGAGTGCTTTTATGTATGAGACACACAGAGCTCCCGAGCCCTTCCCCTGTGTGAGGATACAATAAGGAGTGTGAGACCAGAAAGGACCCTGCGTGACCACGCTGTGGAAATCCATTTCCATTGTTATAAGACTGTGATATTTTGTTATAGCAACCCAGAAGTGCTAAGACAGCATCCTAACAGTCTTCAGATAGCTCAGTAAACCTCATGCTATTTGTACAAAGGTGCGAAGCACTGATCCTGTCTGGTGTAACACTATGACAGTGGGCTGACTGTTCGCAGCTGGCTTTCATAAAGAATCCTGAGAATTCAGTCTTCTTGGTAGCAAGACCAGAACCATGAACAATTGTCTAATACTTTGGTTCTAATAACTTAACCCAGAATAATTTTCTGTGATTCTTATGCAATCTCTTAATGGTCTTCTTTGTAATGCCAGCTTCTGCTATCTGTGACTAATTTTAATAGGAGCTTCATTCTCTCAAATGTATGGGTGGATTTTCTTTTGATTTTTGATTAAATGAAAATAAGAAATGTTAGCAAATTACCATCTTAGATTTTGACATCTCTACAGAGTCTGTGTTTATTTTTTTAAGAGGAGACCCATTTCACAGAGCATGCATGAAAAAGCTGTAAAATTCAAAGAAACTTGCTATGGGAAAGATCATTAGGACCGTCTGAGAGCTGGATGGGATGGATGTGGATTTAGCACTCGTCGCTGATTCGGCACGCCAGGATCTTGCTGTACATGTCAACTTTACGTGAATCTCTGTGCAGGCACTTGAAGAGTTTATAAATTTCCGAATGACGCTTATCTTCGTTATTGGACCTCAGGGATCGGGATCCTGACCAGTACATGCGATCCTTGTCCAACTTCACTCTGACTGGAAGAATAATCTGAATACAGAAAATGACTTCTTATGCATTTTATTAATATTTGCTTAACTTTGCCCCTTGTAATTGTCAAATTAAGATTTTGGGAACACATATGAATATAAAACTCTGTGGATTTGGAGCCAGCCTATGAGAAAACAATTAGGAATCTAAAAAGTAGAAACATAACTCAAGTTTAGTTTTAACTTTCTCTTTTCTTCCTTCCCATTTTCATCCTTTGATCTGAGAAGAACAGAGAAAGAAGACAAGTAGACTTCAAGAGCAGATGTCTTGGGATACTCTGAAGAAAATGCTGAGCTTGGAAATTCTGTTCTCTGGTTCTCTTACTCTTGAAAATATTTCGACCACCTGTGCCTAGGAAGAGGCAAGCTTTTGGTGGAATTGTGTACAATGCTGGGAAGGCTGCACATGGCAAAAATTGCAGTGAAATTCTGTTTCCTTTACAGTAGAATCTATCACTATGGATGACTAGGCTCCTGCTTTATGTAGTAGCAGTCTAGCATATAGAAGTCATGAATCTTTTTCTTACAAAATGAGATATTTCAAATCTCCTTATGCATTACAGAGTGATCAAAAAAGCAAGAAAGCCCGCTGCAGGATGCTCACCTGTCTGAATCGCCTCTCTATGATTCTTTCAAGTTTTTTTAATTTTTTTAAATTCTCTCTGGCACTTGATAGGAGAGTATCTGAGAGGTCTTTCTCAAAGTTCCTGTCTTGATGGGCTAGACTATACAGAGGACCATTCCAGAGGTACTGTAACATGAGTATCCACATAGTAAGGTCTTCATTCTAAGCAAACGTAAGAAACAGTCTCATTAAAATAATCATAATTCAATGGTTTTTGTAACATTTGATCTTTGCTCAGAACAGATGACCTAAAAGACTTTTGGTTATTCCTATGTGTATGCAGAAATTTTTGAAGGTAATAAAACTTGCAAAATTATAAAATGTAAGCTATTAGTTCACATTTCACTGAATTATTGAAAATCTGGGTTATTTTAGGAATTAATTCTTTTGATGAGTTCTAATTTATAACATGAAGACATTTCTTTTTTCCTCTGAAATTCTAGTTAGCATGCTTGACTTTTTTACAGCCATGAATTGTTTTAGTGGAAAAGAACAGAGAACTGAGTAGGATGAAATATAGTAATGCACATAAAGTGCTTAGTAAAATGTATCGCCACGTAGTAACTCTCAATAAACTTTAAATTCAAGCTTATTGAAAAACCCCTCTTCCTCCTCCTCTTTGGCCTTTTCCTTTCCTTCATCATCCTCATTATTAATGAGCTTAACAGAAGAAAAGAGTGCTGATATCATTAAGAAAGTTGTAGAGAGAGAAGATAGTATTTTAAGGGGGGATGCATGTGAAAATATACTAAATAACATTAGGACGAGGATAATGCAGGAAATCAGAAAGGAGAGATTATAATGGCGAAAATTTGGAGCTGCCATAAATGATTGAGGCTTGATATGTAAACTGTGTTGTCCTCAGAACAGAGGCAATTGTTGCGGCCATGAGAGGCAAAGCACTGTTATATAGGCCATTGTGGGGGAGACTTACAAATTAAGAATAAAAGGTGACAGAGGGGTCATTGAGAATGACAAATGAAGGAGGAGTCATTGAAGTAGAAGCAGAATCAGGAGAGCCTTGAAAGGCAGACGCACTGACTCGAGTGGTGCAGTGTAGGACTCCCAAATACGAGTCACTGTAACAGGGAGTACTCAAAACTGAAGTGTGTTTCTTACATATTCATTAATTTTGCAATCTTATATTTTACACATGGAAGTTCCCATTCATTTCATATTTTTGTACAGAATAACAGCTGCAATCCTGTTTATAATGAGTTGCTTGAACTAAACTTGTCTGCATGGACAAGTTATAGATCTGTTATTTATTTTGCTACTACAGATCTTTAGTCATCCCTTGGTTTCGTTCATGTTTCATCAACTGCATCACATAATTTCTCTTCAATTGCTTACGGTTCTTCCACCGTTTTCTGCATGTACAGTTGCCGTTACCTCTAATAATCTGGAACTTGGTAAGCTACATACTGTCTCATTTGATCCGGTAAAAAACCCAGGTGAAAGACTCACGTTCATCTGTTGGGCTTTTTCTCTTTCTTCAGGAGCATGGAGGGAATTGGTGTGGCAGTCATTGGTGACATTGATATACTCTGGTCTACTCTGGGAATACTTTTCATCCTGAAAGTGATCAGGCAATTAGTTAGGGTTGTTGGGCATTCAGTAGATGAGCCCATTACCAGAAGATTAACATGTTTGATAGATGTGTAATTTTTAATGTGGGGGGGAAATCACAAAATTTGAAGTCAGTCTTTTCCTACATTTTCTATATATTGTCTCTATAAAAATGATTTTACATCTTTTTCTAAGTTCAAACTTTTCCCTTCTCTATTTTATGATTATTATTATTTTTTTTTTTTAGTATTTGAAAGAAATATGGTAATCTTGTACCAATACTTGTTGCTTCCCAGGTGACGGTCATGGTAAAGAACATTCCTGCCAATGCAGGAGATATAAGAAGCCTCAGGTTTGATCCCTTGGTGAGGAGCATCCCTTGAAAGAGGGTACAGCACCACACTCCTGTACTCTCGCCTGGCGAATCCTATGGACAGAGGAGGCTGTTGGGCTATAGTCAGTAGGGTCGCAAAGAGCTGGACACAACTGATGTGACTTAGAATGCATGCATGCACCTGTATTTAACCATTTAATCTCAAGTTTACTGTGGGTTAGAGCCAATATATTCCCTTATAAGGAGTAATGCAATAATGACTGACTTATCTCTGAAAATGCTCATCAAAAACTTAGTGTTCATCCCAGGTGCAGAATACAATGTTGTTTGTGAAAAAATGGTATGTCAGAAAAACATGGCCTAAAGTTATAGGAAATACTAAGCAATGGACTGAGAATAATAAGAGTAGAAAAATCTAGCTAACACTTTGATAGAGAAAATCTAATCTTTAGTGGAAGTTATGAACATTTGAAGAGATTACTTGGAAGAGGTGGAAAAAAATGGACAGTCAAAAATGGAGGATGAAAAAAAACTAGTGAGCACAAAGAACTATGTGAATTTAATAGAAACCTTTATGCCAGGAGCCATTATGGGAGATCCCACCCATGACAAGGTCACGAGGAGAAGACCTGAAACGCAAGGCTGTTCGGGCTACAAGGGACCCTCCAGGTTGACCCCGGCCTCTAACCCACCCTGTATCCTCCCCCTCTTACTGTTGTCCTTGTTCATCCTGTTGCGGATCTTTGCGTTGCCCGCTAAATTAAGGCCAACATAGAACCTTAATTAATAAATCTCCTGGACGCTGGTTCCCTATGAAGGGGCCAGGAATGAAGGAAATGTTTCAAGTAAAAACTCTTTTGCTGGCATTCTGGCTTGTTTGGCAAATACATACTAATGCACATGACTGCTCACAACATCTTAATCATAAAGAGCATAAAGACCCTGATCACAAAAGGCCCTTATAGGCACAGAGCCCTTTGGGGGGTGAGAAAGTCCTATTAGAAAACACAAAAAATATTATTCTAAAAGTGGTTATTGGATCAACGTTTGATTGCTGTTATTGTGCTGAGGTTGTGCAGTAAAAACTATTGTTAATATAGTTAAGGATTTAAAAAAATAAGAGTTTAGCCCTAGAGTGGAGACAATAAGATAATTGTTACTTTTAATCAAGAGTGCTAAAACAGAGGCTGCCTTACCAGAGCCACAGAGTCTTTGTGTAGTAAACTTTTTAGATAAATTTAGCTGAGAACTTTTGCAAAAAGGCTGACCTTTGTGTGAACAGGACTGTATTTCTACAATGTTGCAACCTGATGTACCATGAGACTGCAACTTTTCTGTTTTCTGCTAAACTCAAGGCAAAATAGAACAATAAAGAATAGAGTAGGGAAAACATTTTTCCTTTTCCTAGGTCTTAAAATGTTAATAGGCCCCAAGGCCAGAAGATAATGTGTAAAGATCCACTATGAAAGAAGACTCTCGTGAACAAAAAAGTATGCAGAAAAACACTCTGGTTTCGTGAAAGACAAAATTGATGTGATGTTAAACTAAACTTTGTATGCTTATCTATCACCTCCCCTTAGAAATGTACCACTTAGCGTATAAAAGCTATGGTATAAAAAATAAAGTTATGCAGACCCTGCTGCACACTCCAGTCTGGTCTCTCTGTGTCTGTCTGTCTGTCTGTCTCTCTCTCTCTTGCTGATGCCATTCATCCTGAGAGTACCCCTGGATCCTGCTGGGGCTAGACCCCGGCACCTTTAGCACCGCCTTTTATTAGCTGTCTGCTCTACTGTGTGCTCCTTCATTGACCTAAAATAATTAATATACAACCATCAAATACCTTCATCAGAAACAGAATAACTGTTTCCAATCATAAACGCCCCTTCTATTGTAGCTCAAAACTTATTCACTGCAAATCTTAAAACAATAATTTGTAGCATTAAAAAAACTACCAGTATTTGTTATTGTGACCAGGATTCAGCTTTGTTTAACATGCTCCATCCACCCAGTTCACTGCAGAGCAGCTCTCATTTATTGGCTATTTACTCTGAGCCTGGAGAAGAAAGCCCAGAGAGACACTGAAGGACCAGAAAATCACCATGCTTCATTTTCCCCAGTCCCACCTAAAAGTGCTTTATTATGGACTGAATGTGTGTTCTTCAAATTCATGTGTTAGAGCCGAACTGCCAAAGTACTGTGTTTTGAAAACTGTTCCGACTTTTTGGCACGCCATGGTCTATAGCCCAGCAGACTCCTCTGTCCATAGGATTTCTCAGGCAAGAATACTGGAGGGGCTTGCCGTTCCCTTCTCCAGGGAATCTTCCAGACCCAGGGATAGAACCCACGTCTCTCCCATTGAGGCAGATTCTTTACCATCTGAGCCGCAAGCAAAGCCCATTAAGGTTAAATGAGCTCTTAGGGTGCAACACTCATCCAATAGGTTTAGTGTCTCCATGAAGCGAAACACCAGAGAATACCTGCGGAGGGAAGCCTTTTTTTTCCCCCGTTGCTCTGAGCAGGAATTGGAGCTGTAGTAGCTGTGGTGGAGAAGAAGGAGTGCCCTCTGTGTGATTTAGGAGGATGATGATATTTGCACAGATAGATACTTGGAGAAGTAGGTTACTCCCTGCATTTTTGTATTGCTCCCAGAAGTACTTCTGTGCCAGAGTATTTTGTCCATTCTTTTAAGACAGTTTAATGTGGGGACTCTGCAGACTCTGAGCAGCGGGGCCACCTAGGAGTGCGTACTTTTTTACTCTACCTTGACCAGTGCTTGAATTTTAGACACTGAAATGACAAGAAGTGTACCGTTGATCTGTGTGGTTTACCATCACGCTGGGGTAAGAGTAAACATGTGACTGACTGATCGCTACTACTGAGCACAGAGAGAAGACTAAGAGAAAAAGGACACTGTGCCTTGGCTCTGCTGACTCAGCTTCGTGACCCCGTGCATGTCTTTGATACTTTCCCAAAAGCTCTAAAACATCTTAAAAATTGTGTTTCACAGTAGCCCTGTGAGATAGCCTTCGTCTTCACTATGATCATCAAGTTATGTTAATGAAGATGCAATGACTTGGAGAGGGCAAATAATTTTCCCCAGGTCCCATTATTAGCAGTTGGAGGTGACTGGGTACCAATACAGTCATCTTCTCACTTGCTGATGTCACATCACACATGCCTGTGGGCTCTCTGTCTGCATTATGTTACTAGGACCACACCAGGAGCTGTGTTGACTCTGCTTAAATCGAAAAATATTTTGTCTTTCACTGCAAAACAGCAGTGACCCTAGAGCACTGGTTTTATCCACTTGTTCTGCTCTGTCTATAAAACACTCACTGTTAAAGTCTTTGACAATTATCAGTGTGGGGGCCTGATTCTCCTGGCTAGACTTTCTTCTAGGCATCCTGACATCTCTTCTACTTTTATGCATCCTTAATCTTCTCATTCCGTTTGCTTCTTCGAGACAATGGCAGGTAAATCTCCAGATGGTCATCCCAGAATCTTACCTGCTCAGCACCCAGGACCCCATCACTGGCTCTGTGGACACGCCTGGCCTTTCCTGACTGTGACGTTTCAGGGAGAAAGTCTATCTGTCTGGTCGAGAGCACATCCTGACAACCATGGGGCTCAGTTTTTGAACCATCTCCAAACATGTCCTCTTTGATAGGAGAACTAGACCTTCAGGCTTCCATGATGTATTGAAAGATTTCAGAAATTATTCCTGGCCCTACCTTTGGCCAAGAAAACCATAAAATCAGAGACTCTTGCAAGCGTGATTTTAAA